TCCGCTTTGTTTCAACTTTATTCATCAACTTTGTTTTCCTGTGATCAGGGCCCCTCAGTTGGCTTTTCGTCGGCCGGGTGCAGTCGCTCCTCTTACTGCGGCGCCTGTGTCGCGCTCAATACCGAGGGCGGCATCAGTTGAATCTTCGGCGGTTCCTTCTCCTATACGGGCCGCGCTTCGGGATGAGGGGCCGTCGGGGGTCGTGCGCCCTAGAGCGGAATCGTCATCAGATGGGGAGGAGGAGAGGCCGTTGATAAGGCGTAGGGTCGCGTTCGCGCCGGCTCCTCCTGTGGTAATTAATTTGGACTCCCCCCCGGCGGACGAGGAGAGGAGTGCGGCTGCGGCGCCTGCCCTTGAGGGCGGACAAACACTGGGGGTTGCCCCGGTTGGCTCAGGTCGTAATGATACCGTCGCTTCGGCGACTCAATTGGGGATTCCAGTCGCCGAGATGGGAGGTAGTTCCTCAGCGGCTGCTAATGTGGGTGAGGCAAGCGCTCCTTCGACGGCTGCGGCGGATGCTGTAGGGGGTGAGGATGAGTCTGAATCCGACTTGGATCCCGACGACGTCCGTATGTTCCAGGAAGGCTCCACCAATTCAGCGGTGCGCGCAGGGGGCGATCTCGCTTCATCGAGGTTCCCACGGAATTGAACTTATTGCTCCAAGGGGAAAGCTTGGTGTCGCAGTTCGAGCTGCTATGCTCGGAGGCCGAGAATGCGTCGTTGAGGGGCGTTACGGATGTCGGACTGATGAATGAAGTAGCCGTGATGGGCTTGAGGGTATGTACTATTACGTCGGTTCGCTTCTTCTTTGCCTTAAGTTTATTCTTTTATTCTAATCGTTGTCTTTGCCTTGCAGTCTTATCTGTTGGAGGTGGAGAGCATCCGTCGAGCCAAGGTCCGCTCGGGGATATTTTTGCGAGCGCTGGAGAAGTATCGCCGCTACCGAAATCAGTGCCGAGATTTGCGCATGCGCTTGAGGAATGATCCTCGTAGCCGGGCCTTGGTCGAAGAGCTGGCGAGGCGGGAGCTTCAGATGCAGCAAATACTTGGCAGGACGAGTGCTCTCGAGGAGCAGCTCCGCCGGAAGGATGAGGAGCTCGAGGCGGTAAAGAGGATCGCAGCTGAGTGCGAGCACCGGGGCGAGGCCAAGGCGGCGGAGGCCGCTGCGGCATGGAGCGGGAAAGTGACCGCGTTGGAGGGTGAAGTCGCGGCATTGAAGCTTCAAGTGAGGGATGCTTCGTCGAGGGCCGGGGCGTTGAAGGAAGCTATCCGCGTGCACGAATCCCAACAGGCATTGGAAAGGGATGATGCGGCCTTTAGAGAAGCGAGTCTCGAGGAGCGGATTGGTGTCTTTGAGCAGGACGCCCAGGTCATGGCGGACCGGATCGCAGCCTTAGAAGAAGAGAATCAGCGGCTACGGGATCAAGCCGCTTCTTCCAACCAGGCTCGAGAACTTTGGGTCTTTGCCGAGGCCCAACGCAATGTATATAAGAGTTTGTGGGAGGCTGGCGTCGTGACCGAAGCTGCTTTCGAGGGGGCGCGTCAGAAGGCTCGTGAGGCACGTGCCGACTGTGGTTTTGACGCGGCGACGCCAGAGGCTGACGCTGGTGCAGACGGTGGCGCAGACGGTACCGAGTAAAAAGATGTTTATGCATTTTTTCTTGTCTTGTTCGCCGTTTGGCGTTTAGGTGTTTCTTGTTTTTTTTTTAATTTCTTGTATTGATCGGCCTTGGCCGGGTGTAAGCGGGGATGACCCGCGATTGACTTTGTAAATATATAAATTTTCTTTTCCATTGCCTGCCTTGTGCTTGTTTTGTGTCACTGTTTTTCTTTCGTTCTTTAGAGTTTTTGTTGCGCTTTTTGTTGACCGTTCACGTTGGCGGCCCTAGTTGAATTTAGATCGATGACTTTAGTCGTGATAGAATCGACGACCTTAGCCATAAAGGCAACTTCGACCGTCGTCGGGTCGTTTACCCACCGCAGTCGAATCTAGGTCGACCGTTGGCGGCGATGGCCTTAGCCATAATATAGTTAATGGCCTTGCTTTTTCAACTCGGTCCGGGCGAGTCTTAGCCGTTATTTGGCGATAGCGGCGCTTAGCCTTAGTCCTAGTTCGGACGCGGTCGAACTACCAGTCGTGATGGTAAAAAATGCGGCCTCGTAGTTTGACCGGGGCCGAACTTTACGTGGCCCGAATCTTAATTCGAGTTGGGAGAACTTACTTGAATGGCGAGGGTGCCTATCCTGCGCTCCGATTTGTTGGAGGTCGGGCTTTGCTTTCACAGATGAAGGCATTTGGCCTGAGTCTCGGTTCAACTGTGGTTGAACTTGCTAAAGTTGAGGACGAAGGCGTCCATCCTTGCAGTTCGAGCGAGGTCGAGCTCGTTGGATTCAATGGCGAAGGCACATAGCTTGAGTCTTGGTTCAACCGTGGTTGGACTTTGTTAAATTTGGTGGCGAAGGCACATAGCTTGTCTTGGTTCAACCGTAGTTGAACTTTTTGGTGAAGGCACGTAGCCTGTCTTGGTTCAACCGTAGTTGAACTTTTTGGCGAAGGCGCATAGCCTGTCTTGGTTCAACCGTAGTTGAACTTTTGGTGAAGGCGCATAGCCTGTCTTGGTTCAACCGTAGTTGAACTTTGTCTATTTTGATGATGTAAGGCTACGAGTAGGCCTGAGTCCGGTTCAACCGTAGTTGAACTTTTTGGTGAGGGCGCATAGCCTGTCTTGGTTCAACCGTAGTTGAACTTTTTGGCGAAGGCACATAGCCTGAGTCCCAGTTCAACCGTAGTTGAACTTGTTGGTGAAGGCGCATAGCCTGTCTTGGTTCAACCGTAGTTGAACTTTTTGGCGAAGGCACATAGCCTGAGTCCCGATTCAACCGTAGTTGAACTTGTTGGTGAAGGCGCATAGCCTGTCTTGGTTCAACCGTAGTTGAACTTTTTGGCAAAGGCGCATAGCCTGTCTTGGTTCAACCGTAGTTGAACTTTGTCGATTTTGATGATGAAGGCACATAGCCTGAGTCCCGGTTCAACCGTAGTTGAACTTTTTGGTGAGGGCGCATAGCCTGTCTTGGTTCAACCGTAGTTGAACTTTGTCGATTTTGATGATGAAGGCACATAGCCTGAGTCCCGGTTCAACCGTAGTTGTACTTTTTGGTAAAGGCGCATAGCCTGTCTTGGTTCAACCGTAGTTGAACTTTTTGGTGAAGGCGCATAGCCTGTCTTGGTTCACCCGTAGTTGAACTTTGTCGATTTTGATGATGAAGGCACATAGCCTGAGTCATGGTTCAACCGTAGTTGAACTTTTTGGCGAAGGCACATAGCCTGAGTCCCAGTTCAACCGTAGTTGAACTTGTTGGTGAAGGCGCATAGCCTGAGTCCCAGTTCAATTGTTGTTGAACTTGGTTGATTTTGATGATGAGGGCGCGTAGCCTGAGTCCCATATTGTGGGTATTGAGTGCTGAAACTCGTTTCTGATTCGAGACCTTGAGCGGCTTATCCGTTGTCTTCCCAACCAGGGTATATAGGCTGTCCTGAGGCGACTCTCAGCTCGAGATATCTCCATGCCGGTTTCTGACCGGAGCTCGTGTGCCTTACAGAGACTTTCCCTTAGGAAGAGAGGGGGCCCCTTCTTCTTGTTTGCACTATCTCAGGTTGGAGAGAGAGAGAGGACTTAGATCTTGATTTGAGATGTTCGAGTTCCCCTTCGAGTTTGGCGCTTCTTTCCTTTTGGTCCAGGGAAGAACTACGCGACTTTGCTAGGAAATCCCCACAGACGGCGCCAAATTGTTTGCTCAAAAGTTATCACATATCTTATGAGTATAAAACAATATAAATAAATCACGGGAAAATCATAGCAAACCGTAGTAATCCGTTGGACCAAATGAAGGAAACAAAAATTAATACTCAGGATTAGGGGGAGAAACATTAGAAACCTTTATTGATAATATTGATTTGGTCTGCCTCTCCATGGAGAGGTTCAGAGCCTTACAATGGTGTTCCTCTTGCCCATAATTTTGGGTATTGTTGTCCCTTTTTTCTCTCTCAATAGTGGTCACGAAGAAGCCCCCCCTTTCTAGGGTTCCCTCTCTTGGTATTTATAGCTGTGAGCTTCGTGAGCTGGCAATAAGTGGCCGTGACCACGTTGGGATTTCGCCTTTATGGTGGCGGATAGGCCATGGCCTTGTCGATCGAACCAGATGCGGGCTGAACATCGTCAACTCTGAATGGTCGTGCCACTAATTAATCATGAATTAACTTAAAACGGGATTAGCCTCGTTAATTATCGTGGGGTCGAATTCTGACCCATACACTTTTACTAAGAGTTATGTTGGTTTGGTATCATCAAAATTAATATGTGAAACCTTTAGGCTAACAGAATGGATAATGAATTTAACTCCAAAGTTTTGCTAGTTGTCTTACCATTTGTCATGATTTCATCTGCACTACTACTACGATCGTTTTCCTACCTCTTAATTATATATGTAGCGGTCTCTCTCTAGATCTCTTTCAATCATGCTAGTAAAAATGTCTATATAATAATTATTACGTAGAATAAGGTAATTGAAGAAGTGAAAAGAAATGATCAAAGAGTTAGATAGTTTCCCATTAGTACACAATTAAGGAACAACTCACCGAAAGGATACCTCAAGAGGCACCAATCTTACCCGGCAAAGATTTTATTTGTGTGAAGCCACGTATGAATAGAACGAAAGATGCTGAAAAGAAAAATGAAAGAAGAAATCAAAATTTCCCTTGAGATAGGACACGGGCAGCACGTCAGGATCAAGGTAAGCATAGAACTAGTTTCCGTTCAACGTCAGAAGCGTCGCTTTGGCCGAGTGGTTAAGGCGTGTGCCTGCTAAGTACATGGGGTTTCCCCGCGAGAGTTCGAATCTCTCAGGCGACGCATACCTTTTTATTTTTTAATTTTTTAATTTTTTTTATTTGGTTAATAATTCAAAATATGAACTACAAAATTGAAATGTTTTAAAACCCATATTGGGAGTTGACAAGTTCTTTCCACCCAGCAAATTCTCCTATGCTATGGTTCTCCTCTAAGCTGCCCGCTCGTCTGCCATTTCTTTCTCCAGTTAGTAATATTAATCCAATGAAGAAACCCCATTGCCTAAAAAATGACAGAAATCACGAAATTACTGTCCAAAAACTTACCACCAAAACCAAAGCTTCATCATCCAGAGCCACAATCATTAAAGTAAAAAACAAGCCCAAATCAAAAGATTCAAAACCCAACTCAGAATCTCAAGAAAACCTCCCAATCCCTCAAATTAACACTACCCTTATAGCTTTCTTGAATAAAAATCCAATCTTGACCCAAGATTTTTACCAAATTGATGCACTTGATCTTGCCCCTCGTTTGCTTGGCAAGTTCCTTAGGAGAGATGATGTTGTTCTTCAAATAACTGAGGTTTTTAATGTTATTTCTGTTCTTCATTCAATATATTTGACCTGCTTTAATGTTTGTCGAATTTGGTAATTTGATTCGGGGTTGATGTTTGTGTTGTTAAATGAACTTGTTTGATAGGTCGAAGCTTATAGGCCAAATGATTCAGCTTGTCATGGTCGATTTGGCAAAACAGCTAGGACTGCTCCTGTTGTAAGATTCTTAAAGCTTCCATTTTTTAGTCATTCGCTTTACATTAGTGGTGAATGCTGAGACAAACAGTGTGTGTTCACATTTTTGTTGCAGACATATATAAGTAAATGAACAAGAATGTGGAAACGCTTTAATAGCTTAAGCTTTTAAATGAGCGGTTCACTCGAGTTTGACATTTTCCTTTTTCATGATTATCTAACATTATAAAATTTATGCAACTTAATAGATGGGCTATGTTCTATTGCGCATGTACTTGTTCAACAAGTTTTAAAGGGAATCAGCCCGCCACCTCATTATGTTGGAGCTGGAGGTATGATGTGCAGAGTCTGTCATCAAATATATTGCGGTCACTTACCCAAAGAAAATGTTATTGCTGTCCTGCACTAGGTATTATATTGGTTAACTTAAACCATGTGAAAGTTAACACACTGTGTATTTGAACTTGTGACTTGAAGTTGGCACAAGTCTCCAGACTTCTGGAGTAGAATGTAGGGTGTAGTTGCTTACAAGAAGAAATTAGATTGTTTTGTGGTGGAGAAAACATTTACAATCATGATTTTTTTGCTCTATGTCTGAAGTATAAAACTGACGTGGAGTTGGACATATCCTTTTGTGAGCACTGAGCACAGTGAGTGTGTATTAGGTTTTGGAGCCATATGAAACATTTCAATGTGTTCTTTATAACTGAATTATTGTTCATTTTTTTGTAGCACTGTGCTATGACATCTATTAGTATATGTTATAGAGCATATATATTGGGGGTGTCTTCTAGATTTTCTAATGATTTGTGATTGATAGTTTGGTCCTGGTGGTCATGCATATGTCTACCTCTGCTATGGTTTGCACATGATGCTCAATGTTGTAGCAGATAAGGAAGGAGTTGGAGCAGCTGTTTTGATTCGCTCATGTGCTCCCATCAGTGGTAAACTGAATTCCATACTGTTATACTCCTACGTTTTATAGTTTTAAATTTGTTCCCCAATTCAGTTTGATATGTTCTATTTGATCTCATTAGTCCCACTGCAGTTCGATGCATGCATTCCTCAAAGTCACTCTTCACTCTGCGAAGTGACATCTCCTTTTTTATCTTTTTACATTTGTTGCATTCGTGCACCTCGAGAAAAACAATTAAATGATAGTATAGGTGTAGCTAAATGTATCTAATGAAATATTACTCTAGCAACTATAGTTCTTGACTATTCTGGTTCCTTTAAAATAATTAACTAAAACTTGTCTGGTTTAGTTGATTTCATCAACCAACATCAAGCTATGGCCAGGGAAGATAAACATCTGATATAACTGTTTGAATATCGTGAGTTTGATCCATGAGTTGGAGTTCCCATGCTTGCATGACAAATGGAAAGCAAGGTTATATAGACACACATTGAAATTGAAGCACACTGCACTCCAGTTATGATGATCTTCTCTCTCAAGTTCTGCGTTCTTGGACACTTAGACTAGTTTATTGTTTCAAACGAAGTCAAAATACCATTTAGGGTTTTCTTCAATGATAATGGATTAAACACTGCAGGTTTGGGTACTATCCAGCAGCGTCGAGGTTTAGAAACTGAGAAGCCTATTCTTCTTGCAGGTCCTGGAAAGGTAAGTTATGACCTGTGTTGGGTTATACAAACTTAAGTTACTTGTTTAACGCCATCATATTGAACAAACCTTTCTTAAAGATTACCTACTGTTTAGTCCCCTTACTTGATCTATGTCTCGTATCAAAAGAGTTTGGCTTTATGTTATTGAATTTAGCTTGAACCTATTTTATTTGGTTCAAGGACAGTAATCTCTAGTATCTCCTATTCTGCCTTTCCAGGAATCCTTGGGAGTTTTTTTATGCATAAAAAATTAAAACAAGTACTATCGAGTACAACTATGTTTTCACTGGCTAAGAGTAATATGAGTTTCAGATGATAGTTGTGATATCTGACATTTTGGAATATCATGTTCAACGGAGTAAAATCATTTGAAGGTATAAATTGAGGATTCTTTCTGTAGTGGCTATATGATGAATTTGAGTTTTCAGTTTATTAACTTCCGTGATGAGCTTCTTGCATTCTTATAGATTTATAGAGGCCCTCATTGTGAATCTCAACTGTAGCTATGGAAGCATACAATTTTAGTTTATGGTCATCTCCATCCAAGTATTTTTCATTTCGGTGGAAAGGCGAAATGCAATTGTCTCTACTTGAATTCCATTGCTTACATTTAGAGAAGCATACTTCTAAGACTTCAGTATTAGGAAGATATTACTTGCAATTTCTGGAAGCTTGGAAATCGGTTATACAAGCCTAGTAATTGACGTCTTTTTGTAGGTTGGTCAGGCATTAGGACTATCAACAGAATGGTCTAGCCATGCTCTATACACTGCCGGTAAGCATTCTATGGTTCCATCTTCAAATTTTAGCTACTAAATGAAACTCCGCGCCTACTGTATACATATGACAGGCGGTTTAGAACTCCTAGATGGGCCAGAACCAGATGAGATACTAGTTGGTCCAAGAGTTGGTATAGAGTACGCTTTGCCAGAGCATGCTAATGCATTGTGGAGATTTGCAGTTGCCGGTTCTTCATGGATCAGTGCCCCTAAAAAGACTCTCAGACCTCTTTAGCACATCAACAACGTAACATGAATCCGCCACCACCACCCACCCAGGGGGGGGGGGGGGGGGCGCAGAAAAGTGAGAGAAAGTAGTCAAACAGTTGTCTATTGTACAGGATTTATAGTCCATTCTCTCAGGTTAACCACTTTTTTGTGTATATCTAGGCTGACTGCTAATATCTCAATCGTGTTCTTGGTTATGTGGCATGCAAATATGCCACATTGTGTGGGGTTATCTTACCTAATTAGTTTAAAAGTGATTTAACTCGATTTTACAATGATATTCTCTCTGTTCCAATATATGTGACATAGTTTGAATAGGCACGGATTGTAAAAAAGAAATAAAGAATTTTGCAACTTGTGGTCTTAAACATGTCATAGCATTTGTGTGGGAAACTTTTAAAACTTGTGGCGTTAAACATACTATAAAATTTGTGTGGCTATAAAAGCTCTCATAAAGAATAAAATGAGAGTGGCAAAGTTAATTATTTTCCAGTATACAAAATATGTCATTTTTTTTGGAACAAACTAATAAGGAAATGTGAAACAAGAGGTAGTAACTGTTTTGGTTCACTAAATCATCCTGTCGAGGGATCCTAACTTACATAACCAAGAAAATCCAAATCAGTATATAAAACATTTTTGTCTTGTTGTGAATGGGCAATTGAACTTTCTGCAAAAAAAACATTTTGAGTATAACCTTTAAAAATGAAAGGAATGGTTGATTGCAACAAAGATGCTTGATGGCAAGACAAAACTATATAAGACCTATCTTTTCGTCTTTTTCGTTGATTTCATTTAAAACTACTGAATATTAGATTAAGAAAAGCAGGAAAGGGTGGTCCTGATGATTGCTGGTTGGGCTATCAATTCATTGAATTGTCTCTGTGTGAATATAGTATGTATATATATGTCTTATATGACAGTTCTACTATTATAGTTTTGTGGTAGCCAACAAGTATGGAGCTTTTCATTTGCCGAACGCTTTATGTGCTTACTTTATAGCTCAAAAAAAGGAACACAAAATAAACTCTAGAAAAAAAGAATGCACCCAAAATCGACTGTCAATGAAATGGATAAAAATCATAAGAAATTAGAATTTTCAAAGTTACTTGATACACGTGCTAGTCGGGCGAGGGCTGATACACCTTGCCCCAAATGGTGTTACGACTAACCGCTTAGTCGATTTTATGCTAAATTAGAATATATAAATGATAAGCAGAACGAAAATATTAGGTATAATTATAAAAAAGACATCGTCTGTTATTATAGTAATTTGTTCCTTTCTTCAAATGTTGACATGCTTACGAAAAATACTCCTTAATAGCAAGTATTTGGGTGCTAGAAAATTTACATTCATATTTGCCTACTGAGGCCTGGTTCAAGTCTTCTTATTCTGAAAATATTTTTTGCCAAATGGATGTATTAAACAACCTATACAGATGAATGAATCTTTGAGTTTGAGATAACCAATAAGCTAAAAAGCTCATTTATAATTTTGTGATTATGTTGTTGAAAGAATCTATTTGGTCTAAATTAGTTCAAAGTTGTACCTACCACATCTACCCAAATGAGAAAAAACAAGAAGGATGAAAGAATACATGTCGAGCTAATTAAAAAAAATAGCAGACTAAAGTCCCCACTCAATAATTACTGGTTCACTGTTTCTCTCATTTTGTCTTTTCCACAAAAAAACTAAGTCAAAATGGGTATCTGAACTTGTACCACTATATATGGTATTCTTAGCGTAATTTTAACGTTGCTTCCTCCCTTTGATTTTCTAGTCTTTCAACTGTGTCTATACAGACCAGAGACTAGACTCGCCAAGTCAGCAACTTACAGTGTTTAATCTTTGGCTATTTAAGTAGTGCAAATACAAGTATATCATCTAAGTTTAGAATGGCTCCTGGAGGTGGTGCTAGTTGCAAGGAAATTATAGAGACGGCCAAATTTTACAAGTTGTGACACAACAAATACACAGCTTGAGAAAAGTATCACATTTCTTGGTGAAAAGTTTCGAAAGTCTTCAATTCATGGTGTTCATGAGTTGCTTGAGTGCCCAATCTGCACAAGGTCCATGTATCCTCCAGTTTACCAGGTTAGTACTCTTTATGTGGTTGTTCTTTTCTTTTCTTATAACGGTTGTGTCTGGATTAACTTGCGGACACTTAGACCGTTTTAACGTGTAGTCTCCCACTGGTACAGTTGCCGGGTGGTGATTTGTGTGGGGGACTGATTTGTGTGGTACCCAATTTTCGCTCTAGAAGAACCTGGTTCTTCTAGGTATACTTTCTACTACTGTTTGCGGAATTAAAAGTATATAAAATAAAGAACACAGAGATTTTTACGTGGAAAACACCTGGCTCAAAAGGTGAAAAAACCACGACCTATTACTCAGTAGGATTTTCCCAAACTTCCACTAAAATCACTGAGCCAAAACAGCATTTACAAAACTCTTTGTAAACCTAAGGATTAACTCTAATCCCGTTGTGGCAACCAGCCTCTAACTGCTGCGACAACTTCAAGTTAACTCTAACTTGAATACTCAAATTACCTATTACAATTGCTTCTAGATAAAGCTGAAATGTACAATATAAAACACCTACTACAATTGAACTAGAAATAAAGAAAGACACATAAAACTCTTTATGGAGCTGGTTCTTCAATCTGGTTCATGTAGCTTGAGGTTTGCACACTTGAATCACACACGAACTGCTTGCAAAAAGCCTTGCTATTTTGCTCTCAATTCACGTTTAACTTCTGCGTTTTTTGTGCAACACATTTAATGTGAGAACATCCTGCAATTTATAGAGTTAGTAGATGAAGAAATAACTAGAGTTCTGATGCAACTCTTCCTTGGTGGAAGAGTTCTAGTTGATTTCAACTTCTAACTCCTTCCCTATCTTGAATTGTGTTCTCTTTGATTAAGGACTCCTTCTCCTTATCAATTATGCAACCTTTTCGATCAGGAGTACACCAAGTTAAGCTTATCTCCTTCACATGCAACCCACATGCTTGAATCTGCCCGTTTTTGTGAACCTGAGGGATGGACCACTGGATGGACCTGGTTCATGTCTGAGTTCCTTTGTCAGTCTTCAAAACTAACCTATACTTGGGCCAACAAATTCCCCCTTTTTGATGATGACAAACACTGTGCTTTTCATACACTTAGGCCCTGCCAGAACTCAGCTCAACCATCAACACAATGTTAGAAATATTTTTCCTTTATATCACTTATCATCAAGGACCAGGTACATTAGGTTATAAACATCACTGTTCAAAGTGTAAACATCACTTGTTTAAAGCACAACCTTTTTTCCCCTTTTGGCATCATCGAAAAATTGCATAAAAAATGTGAGATAACCAGATTTTAAAACTTACTCATAGCCACTGGGGCTACTTCAAATGCAATCATGAATTAATCATCATAGATCAAGCTAAGAATTTTAACCATCAAAGAAATATAAACAAACAGTTAGAGCAAAATACAGTGAATTTATTGATGATTGATAAGATTCTACCACAAAGCATAAGAAGAAATAAAAATACTGAAAACATGAGCAAAAGAAACAAAGTCCCGAATTGGGTCACTGGTTGATCTACACTAGGTTAGGATTTAAGGCTTGGAAGAGGTAGGGGCTGGGTTATTTGCTTGGAGAAGTTTCAGCATGTCTTGAAGAATTCCATCATTCTTCTCCTTTTCCCTTGCAAGTTCAGTTATGAGAACATCTCTCTCAGATTCTACCTCAACCAATCGTGTCTTCAGCCTTGCTATCTCAATATCCTTTGCCTCACTCTCCTGTACCAAGACTCTGACTTTGCTATTGATAGGTGTCTTTTTAGATGAACCAGGTTCATTAAGAATGACATTGACTTCATAATCGCAAGCAAGCAGAGTATTAACCCCGAAATGATCCTTGCTTGTACCTTGAAATGTGCAAGCACAGTTGTGAGAATGAAACCATAGGGAATGACATGAGTTTTGGTGCCATTGATAACCTTATCAGTAGGTCCAGGAGGGTTTCCTGTTCAGATGAAACAGGTTCATCTATATTTCTCAAGTTGAACCTACCCCTCAGCAGCTTCCCACTTCCCCCTGTTTTGCTCACACTCTCTTCTATTTCAGTAAATTCCTCTCCCCAAACAACCATTGCACCAGTTTCTTTTGTTCGACCAACAGGAGTGGGTGAAGAATCAACCACTCTTTTACCCTTTCCCCTCACAGCACTCCTAGCACCCTTGCTCTCTTTTTCTTTTTCTTTTTTTTTTTTTAAATTTTTACCACCAACTTCTCCAGATTTTGTAGTCTCAACACCTGCTATAGATCCTACCAGTACAAATCTATTCTCTAAATTTGCAGCCACTTCAAAAATTGTCTCAGGAGTAACTTTAGAATTAGAAGATACCTGTTCAGTTTCGGAATACCTACTTTCTTCCCCCTTAGTAGCAGACTTAAATGAATCTTCAGATTTCTGGGATTCTTCTTCCCTACCCGCTTTCAATTGCTTGTTTATTTTCTTGATCTGCTCTCCTTCAGCGACAATCTTACGAGCCATCATCTTTACTCTACTTTTCTTAGAGATTGGTGTTGTAGAAGGTGTGGAAGTGGTTTCCTGTGGTGGTGATGAAGGATTTTCAGAGGTGTTCGACATATCTGGGCTAGGGTATGGAAGAGAAGAGAATTAGATTGTGTTTGGAAGATGAAAGAAGAATGAGAGTTTTTTACGGCTTGAGAGAGATGAAGTAAGGAATACACTAAACCTGATCAATATACAGGAGAATAATTTATGAGGTAACTATAACTTTTCAGACTCTTAGAAGTTTAATCAAACTAAAATTCAGCTTTAAAGAGACGTTGGAGTGTATCCCTAGAATCTAGGTACTTCCGTTCGATTGGGACTCTTTTGAATGGGACTGGTTCACTTGTAACGGATAAGTCCAAAAGGAGTTTGGTATTTGGTAGGACTCTACTCATGATCCAAATATAGTTATTTCAAATTATGCAGAGTGTAGAAAACATACCGTGTTATCTTGATGAACCAGGTTCTTCACTGATAATTCTCTTGTGTGAGTCTAAATTTACCAAAATAGAGAAAATATCGTTAGAGATTAATGAGTCATTTTAACACATGGCACAAGAGTATACTATGTAAAGTATGAGACTGAGCAAGATTTAATCTACTTATACACAATTTATAGACTTTCTAACCAATATTTTTTTTTCAATTTTTTTTTCATTCCTTTTTTTTCGTAAGCTTGAACTGGTCCTTTGAGGTGATCT